TCTTTTCTTTATATATTTGTCATAGCAGGGGCTTAAACGCCCCCATCCCACACTTTCCGCATTTAAATCACCAGCACTCCAGCTTCACATTTTTTTTCTTCGCACGAGTGGAATTTTACGAAATAAATCCAGCTTTCTAGTGAAGGTCCATTTTCAATATTTTGATTATTTATTGAGTATGATATAACACCCTCCCCCCCCCCATTTCCTGGATAACTATTGTGCTTGTGTAACTGTTTCATAGAATATACTTTGAATGTATTATTGTCTTTAGCCTGATGTGGGTGTTGAAAATGGAGTACATTAGGCATTTTTGGCATCAGGGTTTACGCAAATATTCAATCTACACAGAAATATGCAAGAATTAAGAAAGCTAAGTCCCATAGATTTGGTTTTAGGATAGGACACGAAGAAAACATTATTTTATTTTTTTCAACTTATTTCATTTATAAAGTGGAATTTCCAATTCTCCACGGTAGGTACCCTGAACAGCTTCGGCGGATAAAAAAACGATAAATTTTGGTTTCTCTGTTAAGGTGACTTTTGTATTTCATGTAAAACGAGAAACCAGGGGCGTATTCAGGATTTTGTCTGCTTGGGTGGGGGGGCTCAGCACCCGTTGGAGCCTGGAAACCCCCTGAAATCAATAGATTTCACTGGTCCAGGGGGGATTAGCCCCCATAGCCCCACCCTGAATACGCCCCTGCAAGAAACGATGAAAGAAATTATGAAAATTCACACTTTTAAGCTAGAAATCAACAAGACTTTCAACATTTCGATAAGATTATTGAATTTCTTCAAATGAAGGTCCACTTTAAATTAATCTTTTTCATCTTTGTAGGGAAAAAAAATCAATGGAAAATAAAAATTTGAGCAACTTTCGTTTGTTTTTATTTAAAATTACATGAAATTTTAAATTAATATTGTCTTATGAATATTTCTCAATAATTTTACATCAATTAATTGTTAACAGCCTGTTAACGATTGACGCCGTTAACGATGTTTAAAATATCTTCCCCTACAGTTTTTAATAAGATTGAGATCTTTATCTAACAGCAATTTCAAAAGAAACTGAACATACTGTTGCTAATAACGAACGGATATCTGAAAAGTTGGTCTTTTAGAACGGTTTTAGCGAACCGTTAACGAACGGGTTGAAAAAGGTTTTAATTCTTCACATAACATCCTTGTTATTTGGGGAGTGCTAAGTATTCCTTCTCAAGCTTGTCATCGTACTATTCATTCCAAGCAACATATATTTATACTGTCCTTCAACCATGTATGATTATCAATCTCTACCGAAATTATTCTTTATTCTCTATTCAAAAGTTCTCTCAATTAATTATACACCAACGCCATCTGTGTTTGTTAATTTAAACTAATTATGCATTAATGCATTGAACCCTGCTTCAAGGCAAGCAAGCGTTAAAAGTTATAAGGCGCATACTTTAAAATACTATATGGTTTAAAGGCAGGGTGATTCATAATCCTCTCTCCAGAAATAATCTTAGCTTTTCAAATGTTATTTCAGCTGCGATAAATTATTCATACAATGGTCAGCGTTTATGTCAATTCCATGATGATGACTTTCTCAGTTTCTTTACAAGCTTTGATATGAACACATTTAAAATTTTATGATTTAATTTCATTTAGAACTAATTTTTAAATAAAAAGAAAAATTTCCTTTTTAATTGACATTGAAAAAATACGATATTTCTCAAAACATCTTGTGAAATAATTGAACGGAAATTTTTGCATTTTTTCGCGAAACGTTTCGTTAGCTGAAAACCCTAAGTGAAACTTTTGTTAAATGGAAAAATACATGCATATTTAATATGATATGAAAAAATAATTCGTGTTTGATTTTGACTTCAGTTTTGAAAAGCTTTAGATGTACATGTAAATAAAAGGTTTACTTAAATATAAAAAAATGGTATAATTTATTTACGTCGGTAGCTTTAAGCCGTTGTCTGATCAAGAAAAACAAAGATGTCATAATTATTTAACTATATTTATTTATTTGTGGCTTCTTTATAGAAGTGATTTGCGCATTTATGTTTCAAAGGCTATGAAAAACGTTACCAGAATCCAACACATTTTTAGGAAAATGACAATACCTTTATAATTGTTACTCAGATAATTAAATGTACCATTGTGAATTGAACACGACAACCTTCAAATGAAGAGCAACTTGAAATTACGTCTTCAGTCCGGATGTTTTTGAAAATAACATTTTTTGAGACAATCTTTTGTAAATATATTTTCTATTGTATTCAGATCATGGCAAACTGTAGGTATGTATGTAAAAAATCCAATTCATGATCTGCTAATCATTTAGGTCTCACGTACACATCATTTAGGGCTCACGTACACATCATTTAGGGCTCACGTACACATCATTTAGGGCTCACGTACACATTATTTAGGGCTCACGTACACATCATTTAGGGCTCACGTACACATCGGTATTTTAATAATTCTCAACTTGGTCATAGGAGTTAGAGCTTTGTCTTTTCAGGGCTCCACTTCGGTCTTTTTAGGGCGCACACCTTGGTCTTTTTAGGGTGCACACCTTGGTATTTTTAGGGTGCACACCTTGGTCTTTTTAGGGTGCACACCTTGGTCTTTTTAGGGCACACACCTTGGTCTTTTTAGGGCGCACACCTTGGTCTTTTTAGGGTGCACACCTTGGTCTTTTTAGGGCATACACCTTGATCTTTTAGGGCACACACCTTGGTCTTTTTAGGACACACACCTTGGTCTTTTTAGGACTTAGAACTTAATCTGTTCATAACTCGCACCTCAGTTTTTAGAGCTCTCACCTCGGTCTTTTTAGGGCACACACCTCGGCCTTTTTTGGGGCTTGCACCTCGGTCTTTTTATAACTCAAACCTGATTCTATTAGGGCTTACGCAATTGATTTCTTCGTAAACCTTGTGACATCGTTTGCACGGAGTTATAGCACTTGACACTCGAGTTTTCAGTTGGAAAGATGAGGATATCTCTGTCATCAGACAAAAATTTAAAAGGGACAGTTGTAACCGTGCATGCTTCCTTATGAATGTTAAGAAGATAAGTTTACTGTCCCGCCTTTAAAGGGAGTATCTGGCTAAACACGGTAGATGAACTGAGAATGTATTGTAGATATTCTTTTTAGGATTCATTTGAGACCTATCAGACTTTTTAACAGCGTATAATCGGTCAGCAAGAGCGCAAATTCCAATTTTAAAATCGTCAGAGATTGTTAATATTGAAAGGATTATTTTGAGAATCCTTTTTTAATGATCATTCAATAAAGATGACGAAAATGTCTAGGATATTATTTCTAAATAGAACTTTGTCAAGAATCAATTATTTCTTTGTTATCATTATGTAAAATATCTTTGTATATGTGAAAATGTTCGTAGATTTCTTCATAATCCTCAAATGTCGTCTTTTCAATAAAAATCCAGGAAATCTATTGAAAAATGTTTGTGAATAGTAAGACAGTATAGAAACCAATTACTGAATAAGATTACTTATTTTCAATGTTAAGAGTTAATCTTTATTTTCTCAACCAGTTCCTTAATGCCTAATTAGTTTACTGTAGAATTATGTTACATTTTTTTGCGGTTGTTATTGAATATCTTTTAGAAAACCATATCTAGCCAGACACTCCCTTTAATTACCTTAAACTATTAGAATGAGAACATTAGACAAGTGACAAGGACTTAATAAACTTTTCTTCAAGTAGTATAATTACTGAGAAGTTTAGATACTTACTCTAAGATTAGCCCTCTATATATATATACAGGGTGTCCAACGAAACATGACAATAGCAGGACGAATTTGAAGGTCGTCTAAGGTCTTTGAAAAAATTTGCGGCATTTTTTCGTAAATTTTTTTGAGAAGTAAAATTCTAGTATTAATAATTTCAAAATACCCCTTGCCTTGGATTTTCCAAATTGTGGTCTGCCTTTTTTGCGCTTTCAATATTTCCGGAAATATGATGAATTTCCTTCAGATTTCGACACTTTTGGTTTATTTTAATAAAAGTTAAATTTGATCGAAATTCTTAATATCTCCTGGAATATTGAAAGCACAAAAAAGGAAGACCACATTTTGGAAAGGGTAGGATAAGGCGATTTTTTTGGATATTGTTTCAGGAATCATACATGTTAAAGGTTGAAGACTGAATGTCACAAATAGCTTCAAAGTAGAAAGACGACTTTCAATTTGTCTTGCTATAGTGTCATTCTTCGTGGAATACCCTGTATTTATTTAAATATTTTACATGGTGTTTCTTAAAAAAAGTTTTTTTTAAAGTCTTTTCGCCTACTTCACGTCGTTTTCTTGTACTTAATAAGTGTCTCATTGAACCACAATGCCTTTGTCGATGAAACATTTATCTCTAAAATGTCGGTTTAACCTTTAAAAGTGCGCCTAATATTTAAAAATATATATCTATCTCTTTTCACAAGATTTTCCAAAAAATCTAATCTTTATATTTTCGTTTTATACTACTGATAGCTTAATAAATGATTTATCCCCAAAAAAAATAAGTTTACAGTTGCAGGGAACTGTAAAGAAAAGGAAACAGACAGTATAAATTCCATACAGTTGTCTCTGAAGTCTCAATCTTTCGTGGTAACCCTGTATACATTTTATTTGGAATTTTTGCACGCTGAAAAAAATAGGCATTAATTTACAAACCAAAATTAGCTAAGATAAAAATATCATGTACAAGAAGAAAAAGGTGAAAAACGGAACAAGAAAAAAGTCATGATGGGTCTAATGCTAATGCATGCATGGCCTGGGTATTGCATAATGTGCATCTCATGTAGCTTTTCTCTTCGGTTAAGACATTTTATAGCTTTCTAAAAAAGTATGTTTAAAAATAAAAAAATATTTCAAAATTAATTTTTATTTCAAAAAAAAAAAACCCAATGGGGGCTGTTAAACATCTCTTTTTCTTACATAAATTACACATTTCTTAAATTTTTATTTTTATTTCATCGCCTCTTAAACACTTTATATTTAATTTTTAATACAATTTTGAAAATAAAAGTTTTATCAAAACTTACAAATCTGAAAACTATTTATCTCCAACATTTTTACTTACTTTTTAGAATTTAATTACTTGTTTTAGATTTATTTTTGAAGAAAAACCTGGAAAAATTCGTATCGATTTTTGCGTAAGAATTATCTTTGGATCACTGTGACGCAGTGGCATAATTTTTTCTCAATTTCAAGGTTTCATTTTTTTCTGTTTAAAATTAAGCCCCAATTTTGAGCAAAATTTTGCCAATTTTATTGATCCAAAATGTCCCTTTAGCAAGTATTATTAGCGTACATAGTCTTGTGGTGATAAGATAATCTTAATTTTAATCAATACCTGATATTGGGATATTACACACAAAATTTACCCCTCAGTGATTGTAAATTTAACCAGCTGCAGACTAAAGTCAGACTACCCCTCAACTTCGTTGCACCACCAGCTAGGCCTGTCTACTGTAATTGGTGTACCGGGTGGGGAAGTACAAACTAGGATCGTAAAGGTTGGAACAGCTTAGTTTCAAATTTGCATGATTTGAGTGTGGTTAGCCAATATTTCAATAAGAGATCAATCCCTTTAAACTTTAGCTTAGAACAGTAATAAATATGAGAATTTAACGTCAAATTTAAAAATGAGATGATGCAAAAACCCTTGTTTCCTTGAGTCCATGGGTGCTAAAAACCACAAAACCTCTTAATTTTTTTGTGAATTCAGAATTATTAAATGACACAAGTATAGTTTTTAGAACTTATAAGTACTTTGGTTGACAAAATTGCTTCAATATATCTTATTTAGAAAAAAATATCAATGCTCAGGTGTACAGTCGCCTAAACTAGGAATTTTTAATTTCAAATTTAAAAGAAAATACTTTCTTTTTAATCCACATGCTACCAAATATTATATTTTTGAAAAACCAAAAAATATTACTTCCAAAAATTCTAAAATTAACGCTTGCTTCATGCTTGTACCGTACTGTATATTCAGGGGGAATACATGATTTATAGTGCAGTACACTAGTTTTTGAACAAATTGTTGAAGCTTTCTCTTGGAATTCTTGCTATGGAGTAAGTTAATATCTCATACACATCCACATTCAGTTATTATTAGATCAGGAATTTCCAGTATCTAAAATATGAGATATGTCAATTTAATAAAAATGACAAATCAATTTTAAGGCAACCCTATGGACGAATGAAATATTTATCTGTTAATCAAATACAGTGAGAACACATTTATATATGTGTTTACATTTTTATTTGGCGGATTTTCATGGTTAAAATTAGTGCTTTCTGGAAATTGAATAAAATTATACTCAGCATCGAAACTAATTCTCCCACTAAAACCAACCAAAGTCCGTAGGCCGTATAGACTTTGCACATGCCAATCATGTGACACTAGCTGTCGTCAGAGTTAAAGACAAAGTTAGTTAAAGTTAAAGAATCGTTAACCGGCCCCTTTGGGTTACCTCCAGTCCTCTGTGTGTTGAATTACGCAGTGTTGTAACAAGAACAGGAAGTGGTTCCAGCCTCGTGGCCGAGCAACATGGCGCCTGCACGTCAACCAAACCAAACCGAACCAACTTCTGCAATATAGATAATAGGTTATAGCTTTCATTCAGAGAAATTCTTTTGTATTTCAAAACTAGCTTCTCATTTTAAGGACTAATGATGATGTAAAAATAAAACATTGTAATATATTCCTTACTTTTAAGTTGTGCACTTTACACATTTGTAAGAACTAATTCGAATTTTCATAGTTTGTATTTCACAATGCAGGACTATGCAAGATCTCAGCATTGCAGAATAATAAAGTTTATTTATTGCTAAATTACTGTTACGGCTTTGTGACCTGCTAACTCATCTATAGTTTTTTTTTTATTTCACACCCAAGTTGGATAAAAGCAAATGTATTTGGTTGTACATGAGGACCCCGGCCAAATTTGTATTATTTACAGAAATAATTTTGTTTTCTACATTAACCTTTGAAATTGAAGTATATGGCGCGCCTGTACAATTAGTAAAGGATTAGCGTACATCATCACTCTATGTTATATAACCTCGTTGGTTTCCTAATATTCAATTGATTAAAAACTAAACTAACAACTAAGCAATTTGTAATAAGAAATATTTTATATTTTTCATCAAACCTAACAAATCATAAGGTCATAATTTACATGAGGTTTCCTTTTTTTAAGGCGCAGATGAACGCATTATTAAAATTAGGTTTTATCGAAATTTAACTTTTTAAGTTTTAAAATTCAACTTTTTTTGAATTTTTAAATTACAATTCCACCTGAAGCAATTGTCCTGCAGAGGTTGAAGTTGGACTTCCTACTTTACAGGTTCCAGTGCAGTAGCCAAAACTGATCTATAGTCATAATATATCACATTTGGTTCAAATAGGATGGGGGGGGGGGGAGCGCGGGATTTTTCAAACTACTATAGAGCAAAAAATACCTTTCCACCACCTTTCCTATCCAAGAATTTCATTGTTATTAATTAAGCTTTCAATTGTAGCTGTAGGGTTTCGAAGAGGAAATTGTAAACTTTTTTTTTAATGTAAATGAGGCCTTATATAGAGTAGTTTCTACCTGCTTGGGTGAATCTATATGCTTCCAACCTACATCGTGGAAATTTACCTCCACAGTTTGGAGTCGGCAAGCATCTAAAAATTTCAAATCTATCGCTTAATCTTAATACCCAATATGAACACTTTTGACTTTTTGCTAAATTATTTCATTTGGGTATCCCTACTGGGTTTCGACCAATGAGAGTTCTTTCATTGGTTGTTAGCAATAACTTATTGACTTCTAATAGGCTGTTCAATTAATGTGAAATGCACTCCGATTGTTTAAATTTTAGACACTTTCCAGGATATGAAAATAAAGATTAAATAAATCAAATAAATCTGCAGATTGACAAAAAGAGGAGATCAAACGATCTCCATATCAATTAATGTAAAGTTTTCATCTCAGGAGATATAAAAATCCTTTTAATTGAACAGAAAATAATGATTATTTCTACCTGGGGTTTCCAGCAGGTCTAGGATATCCAATTCCTGAACTGGACCTTGAAATGTTCTAAAAGTATATAAAATATTAATGATTGCACTCTATTTACGTACAGTACAGTCTACATATATGTCAATATTCAATATATTGTCGGGAACTGAATTTGCAATATAATACAAATTCGATCAGCTACCTGATATTCATTGCAAGATGTACACCGCATTATTAATATTGAAAAATTTGTCAGCCTATGTATTATACAGGATTACACATAAAGGATGAGACGGAATAGACCACCCAAAGCTCTAAAATCTGACGACTTGAAGGTTGATTTTTGGCTTCTGCATTCAATTAAGTATTTTACTGAATGATAAAGTTCTGAAATAAACCAGTTTTGGCCTTCAAAGAACCTATCTGAATGCAAGAAAAACTACAAAACGATTCCGTTCAAGTCTCATCCTTATTACCATTTTAGTACACGATTTTGTATTGATTTATACGCTTACAATGATACAATTTACAATTTTCCAGTAAAGTTTCAGTTTTTTTTTCAATTAAATGTTAGGAACAGTTTTTTAAAAGTGTCCCATTTATATACAATGAAACCCTTAATAACGAATACATCGAAAGAATTCATTAAATGTCGTATTCTTCATTTTCTGATAATGGAATGTTGCAGATATTTAGTTTTTTAATTAAATGATTATATGGAACTCTTTAAAACTGTTCCCGCACATTCATGGATATTTATTTATTTTCACAAATACTGAAATTTACGTAATATAGTATAAAACTTATTGAAAAATTGTCAAGACGACATTTGATAAATTCTTCCGAAGTATTCGTTATTAAGGGTTTCACTGTAGATAAAATAGAAAGCAGAATTCTTTGACATTTGAAGTTTCATTTTCCCATTAAACTTTATACAAAAAATGTTCACCTTGCACAATTTACTTCCTTGGTGATGTAAGAAACTGTGAGAAGAATACTAGAATTAAATATAAGTTAAAAATACTTTGCTTGTATGTTTAAGACCTGGGTGTCTGTTTGTCTGTATCCAATAAACGTCAAATTGCTGAACCGATATGGCCCAAATTTTTTGTGGGACCTCACCCCAAGGAAGGTTTATGGATAATCAAAATTTAAAAATTAGCATCCAACACGATTCTATTTTCGTTAAATTATGAAAATCTACTAAATCTTTCTATACCATCCGCAAACTGTGTGTTGCAATAAACGCTGTTGAATGTCGTCTTCAAAATTAATTTTAAATCTTTTTTATTAACATTCGATGATTTAAAATGCATAAATCGTTACAAAAGCTAAATTATTACTTGTTTTAAACGTTGACCTTTTTCTTAATCATATTTTTCATATTTTTATTCAACTACTGCAAAGCACAAGATTAATATACAAATAACAAATCACAATTTACTATGTAGTTTGGACCCGCCAAACCAGAGTTGGTTGTTTTGATTGGTTGGCCCATTATAAGCGAATAAGAATTGTATATGTACACTGTACACTGTACAGTGTACAGTGTACATTTTAAACAAAACAATGATGATAAATCATGAAAAGGTAAGGAGTTAAAAAAGTTAGGATTTAAAAATCAAGCTTATATGATTAAGAATTGAATGTTTTGATAATTTTTGCAAATTATAGGGAAAATAAATAGAATTTAGGTCCTGGTTCTAGAAATATACTGGTTTATGGTATTTTGATTTTCCTTGATGTCTTAGATGGGAGAATTTTGACTAAATACTGTTGTAAATGTCGTCTTCTAACTCAACTGGTTTAGTTAACAGCATTGGTTAAATCTCGTCTGAGCCAGAGCGCTTTAACTTTTCCAACCAAAGTATAAAAAAAACTTTACACACATCACTTTTTTCACATTAAAAAGGGAGGTGGGGGAGGGGGTTGAATACCCCCCTTTACTAGCCAACACAGCCAATCGGGATAGAGTTAATGTTAAATAGTTATTTTTTACATTTAAGATATCTAAAAATTTTACTTTACCCTGATAAAGTAAGACACGAACTAAACGAATTCTTAACTTATTTGTAAAACAAAGTAACAACCGAGCTAACGTTCAACTTTTAATGCACGCATTTAATTTGAAGTATAAGATGTTTTTATAAATTATTCTTTGAAAATTTTACGAATAGTCCTTTTTCTTACCTGAACCAAGAGGAAAATACGAACCAGGGATGTTTCATGTTTTTATTATTATAGATTTTGCAATCTTTAAATACCAGGCATCTGAAACACAACCATTTCAATATTATTTAGGAAAGTTAATTTCCCCCCCCCCTTAAAGTTCTCTAAGTTGCGCCAATTTTAAAGGTACTGTATAGACGTTATTGCAAGAAAGAGATCAAGTTGGAATTATATATCCAAGTTTTCATTTCAGAAAGCTGGTTATTTTCAAATATGAGTTCGCTACAAATATTAAAATGCAAAAAAAGTTACAATTGCGAATCGGGCCTGTCCATCTTTAAATAAAGGGTGACAATAAAATTTCATTTATGATTTGATAATCCTTTATTTATGGACTCTCTCCAGTCTCTAGGCAAAACAGAAAAAAAACCTGGTTCACCATCTTTTATACCTNCTTTTATTTCAAATGCTAATTTTTAGCCACCAGACTTCTTAAAGGAACCCTCACCTTTCTCTGCCAGGAACTCCAACCTTTCTAAATCTATTTTTTGTGAAATTTTTCAAGTTAAATTTTTTGATTAAAGACTGATTGTACGGGAGACCGACTGAGAACAGTTTCGGCTAGTTCCGTCTCCCTGCCATACACTGTAATTTCAACTAATGTTAATTATAAATATCCATTTTTACATGTATAGTTTGTGGCTAAATATATAATTTGATTTGATTTGATTTGATCCTTCTGATTCATATGTTTTATTAGTTTATATGATTCAGAAGGATAAGATACGTACTATATATGCATATAGTACGTATCTTATCATTTTAATGATAAATTTAATATTACACATCTTATCCTTCTGATTTATGTGTTTTTAGTATATTATGGAACGCATTTAGAGTTTCAAGCGAACGCAAACTTTTGCGAAAAAATGCTAAAATTTTGTTTGAATTTTGCTAACGTTTTTTGATAAATTTCGCACTTTTTTGCAAAAATGAATGAAGCGAAAACATGCGAAACGATGCGAAATTTCGCAAAAACGACTTTCGCAAAAAGCAAAAAATTTTATCCCGCGCAAAAAACTCTCTGCTGTGAGAGTTTTAGATATTTTATTTTATCATTATTATTAATATTTCTCTTCCTTTACTTTTATAAATTTTTTTTTTTGCGATATTTTTCATTTGTTTTTAGCGAAATTTTCGCGAAACAGATTATAGCGAAATTTCGCGAAAAAAACACAATATTTCCACATTTTTGCGATCGATCGAAATGCGAAAAAAGTCGAAATTTTATGCAAAATCTTTTTTTTCAGGGAAAAAAACGAAAGTTTCGCAAAACAATTTCCCCTTTTTTGCAGTAAACCCTAAACGCACCCATCTGATCAAAACCTCGTCAATTAAATCTATAATATTTAAATTTGTACACTACTGTAAACATATATAGATCCAAAGGTTGCAAGCTTGCATGCAAACATATATGAAAAATTAGTCACTTCAAAACATACTGGTTATACAAACAATAGATTTACAGTTCCAAAATGTACATGTCCAGGGCTACACAAATATACATGTCCAGGGCTGCACAAAATATACATGTCCAGGGCTACACAAAATATACATGTCCAGGGCTACACAAAATATACATGTCCAGGGCTACACAAAATTTACATGTCCAGGGCTTCACAAAATATACATGTCCAGGGCTACACAAAATATACATGTCCAGGGCCACACAAAATATACATGTCCAGGGCCACACAAAATATACATGTCCAGGGCCACACAAAATATACATGTCCAGGGCTTTAAAAAATATACATGTCCAGGGCTACACAAAATGTACATGCCCTGGGCTACGTACACAAAATGTACATGTTCAGGGCTACACAAAATGTACATGTCCAGGGCTACACAAAATATACATGTCCAGGGATATACAAAATATACATGTCCCGGGCTACACAAAATGTACATGTCCAGGGCTACACAAAATGTACATGTCCAGGGCTACACAAAATGTACATGTCTAGGGCTACACAAAATGTACATGTCTAGGGCTACACAAAATGTACATGTCCAGGGCTACACAAAATATACATGTCCAGGGCTACACAAAATATACATGTCCAGGGCTTTACAAAATGTACATGTCCAGGGCTACACAAAATGTACATGTCCAAGGCTACACAAAATATACATGTCCAGGGCTACACAAAATGTACATGTCCAGGGTTACACAAAATGTACATGTCCAGGGCTACACAAAATATACATGTCCAGGGCTACACAAAATGTACATGTCTAGGGCTACACAAAATGTACATGTCTAGGGCTACACAAAATATAAATGAGTTCAAGGCGTTGCGACACTCCAATTGAAAATATGTGGATGTGGATACAAAACGTTTGACAACAAAAAGGCCAAGATGGCAAAGTTATAAATTGTTCAAAATAATCAATGTGACACAATTGGTATATAAGTTTATAGCATGTGACATTAGAGTAATAATCTATATAATAAAACAAAACATTCGTATATATGTTCCCTATAGCCGGCCAATCAGCTGGACATTTTTTGAGGAGGTGACATTTTTTAGATTCCACCGGCAACACCGGGCACACCAGCTAGTATAAAATAAATCCTGAAAAAAGAGTTTGGTATAAATTATAGCATATTGATAAATAATAGTTTATTATCAAACTAAGCTATATTTCTATGTTTAAAAGTTTTGTTTATAAATTTATACTGACTAGCCTTTTAAGGCGCTTCGCGCCCATCTTCTATTTTAATTGTGAACATGTTCTCTTTGTGTACATCTAAAGCAAAACAAAAAAGTTCGCGGATTTTAACAAAAATTTAGTGGATTTTCAAAATTTTCAACATTTTTTGAAAATTCGAATTTTGATGTAGACAAATATTTGAACTTTTGATCTTTCATAAACCTTCCCTGGGGCCACGTGAGGTCCCCCACAAAATTTGGGCCTGATCGGTTCAGCCGTTTTTACGTTAAACAAACAGACAAGCTAAATTTATATATAGAAGTAACAATTTAAATCTATCTCTGGTTTAAAAAAGGGGTGCGAAATACTCTGAATTTTGTCAAAAAGAAGGAAAAACACAATACTAATATGCGTATCCTTGATGTAAAATGATCAACTTTGTATGGTTTAATCAACAATAAGCTTCCAATATATTACAGCTTTGTTTAGTTCTATTCAGATCTAGCCTTGATCAATGGTCATCAGACAATAACAATTAAAAACCGTAATACACACAGATACAATTATATATACAAACTAGCTTGCCCAGGCAAATTATAGTTACTTCCACCGTTTACCCGCGCTTCGCCTTATATTACCATTTTCGCCATTTTTCCTTACAAAAGTGGACCCTCTTAACTTAGAATCTCAAAACCAATCTAAAAACATTCCCATGGTTCTCTCGAGTTCCCCAAACACAATTTGAGGCAATATGTCAATGGGTTCCTGAGTTATGATCGGGCATAAAAACAAACAAACAGACAGGCAGAGATTATTATACATGATGTCTCAAGAAAATGGGGAATAAGGGTCTACAGCCTCGTTTGTATCGGATTTTTAAGATTAAGACCATTTTTAAAATCCACGTACAATTTCCGATTTAATGAGCCCAATTGTAAGCGTGTCAATCTAAAAATAAAAAAAATAAAGTTTCCAACTGAAGCGAAGTAAACAGTAAGAGAAAATCTCCGTTTGCTTAATTTTTTATATTCAATGTTAGGTTACAGTTTATGACAGTATAATTGTTATTTTTAGATCTACAAGACTAAACTTGGCCTCATTGAATCGGACATTGTACTTAGATATCAAAAATGGTTTCAATCTTGAAAATCAGATCACAAAAAAGTCTGCATAGACCCTTATGAGTAAACGGAGACTATCTTTATTTTTACCAAATTTACTTTCTCCAGTTGGAAACTATAGAAGCCTTTAAACTTGTCAATTTAAGATCTGAAAATGAAAATGTAAATAACTTTAGAATGGTGGATATCGAGATCAATACTTGATCCTTTCTTTTTCTTAATCTCAAGACTAACCTAATCTTGTACTTATCCTCAAAAGTGTATAAAATTCAACCAATCAGAGTCTCGTATCAGAAGCCGGGAAATTTGACATTTTGCGCTCCATTTAAGATTAATATACAAAAACGGGAGGGACTCTCTAAGTTTGAAAAGCGGTTTTAGATTTTTCTGTACAATATCCAAAAAAGAGGGGATTAAGCAAGAAATTGAAAGTGTCCACATTGGATATTCGGATTAAGCAGTCGGGATTAAAGGTATCCAATTCTAAAGTTCCCAGCTCAGAGCAGATTAAAAAGAAACCTTTTTTTTTTCTTTTTAATCCGCTCTTGTTGGATATCACATTTATTACTACATGCAATAAAGAAATGTTTGATTTCAAATACAGCTGCGATGCTATATTGATAGAACTAATAATATCTAGGAATTAATCTAAAGACTACATTAGTCTTGAGATTAGCAAAAAGTGAGGATCAAGCATTAATCTCGATATCCACCATTCCAAAGTTCCCAGCTCTGGATATATAAGTTAGAGTTGAGATATAGGGATTAGAACTTCGGAGTTTGTGGCAAAATCTCAATTCCTTTACTTGTCAATTTTTTTGCGTTATAAATTTAAAACTAAGGTAGATACCAATTCACAAAATCATTTCCATATTGACGCATATTTTGATATATTTTCAACGTTGTCATTAAAAGGACCGTATCTGTAATTTTTGCAAAGATGGCAATGTCCGATTTACAACGGTACCCTCAAAAGCTTTGTCTGATAAATAAATCTATGCTTATAATTATAAAAACTATTTTTTTCTCTCTACAAAGGTGACTTGCGCATTTCTACTGCTGGAAAACATGTATGACTCATTAGAATTAAACCTAGAAAAATGAGAACTAGTTTACCTAGTCAAGTTTTATAAATGTTGTTACATATAGCTGGCTATCTATAGGTAACAAACATATATCCATATATATATAAACCTAAATGAACGTATCGTACGAGACCAAATAATCCCAAATATCAATAATTCAAGGCTATGTCCATG